AGCTATTTATCACAGAAAGTAACTTGATTATTATTAGTCTAATAATTATAGAGGTATAAATCCTTAAGTTTCCGCTCGGCCTACGAATTTCTTTCAATCCTCTTTAATTCAAGGATAATGATTACGACTTTTAACCATATTAACGATTCAAAAATTGATGTGACAAACACTCAGTCGGTATAATAGCTATCATCCTTACCTGACGTCCATACAGGACGTAACAATAGCGTAACGAGGAACGAGAGTAGAACCAATTACGAGATTCTCTAGAAACACGGAATGCTCGTTATTGGTTCTGCTCTCGTTCCGCGTTACGCTATTCCGCTGCATGGGTTTGCACCCTTAGGCTGGAGTCACATTGAGCGGTAATTACAGCGGAACGGAATAGTGAAACCAATCAGAACTCTACAATCATTCCGCTGCTTTACTTTCTGCGATTGTGATTGGTCTCGTTGTTCCGTTCCGCTGTAATTACCGCTCAATGTGACTCCAGCCTGACGGTGATTTTACATGCAGCGCGGAACGCGGTACGCGGTACGCGGTAGGCCGTAAAGTAACTAGGAACCGCGCGCGGTAAGCCGCGCTAATTTTCTCCTATTATTACATGGAGCCAAAATTGCGCGGAAAAGCGGCACTAGTGGCAAGTTGACGTTACTATGCACTTTTTAATGAAATTAATAGATTTAAATGCAATTATTAAGCGGATTCGTTGAAAAAATAAGATTATTGGTAAAATGTGAATAGAAATATGTTAAAACATCTAAGAAAATGCATACAAATGTGAACTTGTCACTATACCGTGCCGCCTTCCCGCGTTCCATGTAAGGCCGGGTTCACACCTTGACGGAAAAGCGGAAAGCGGAAGAGCAGATAACCGATTAGAACTCGCTCTGGTAGTAAATAGTACAAAACTAACAGAAAGTTGACTACCTGATTGGCTACTGCTTTTCCGCTTTCCGTTTTTCCGTGAAGGTGTGAACCCGCCCTAATAGTAGGAAAAAAGAAAGGCGGAACGATAACGACATGTTCGGCATCGGCTCGGTCGGCTGGGTGCATAACTAGAAATTAACACAGGTATGTACTGTGTATACTGCCAAGTAAAGAGAAATAATTTCGGAGTTCGGAGTTTGGTAGGAAAAAAAAACGATTTTCGCATTAATTAAAGACTGTTTTTGTCATGGAGACTGCAGATATGATGTTGATGGCCATGATAACACTATTAAATCGATTAAATCTAATAATTACCATGCGCTTTATTGGCCACTTGGAAGAAATTTGCGTTAACTTTTCAGGTTAATTACCTTATAGTTACTTCACCGCGTACCGCATACCGCGTACCGCGTAACCAATCAATAATCAGTAAAATGTTAAACCACAATAGCAGATTGCTTCTGATTGGTCACGTAGTTACGCGATACGCGGCAAATACGCTTCGTGTGACTCCAGGTTTAGAGTCTAGGTTCCGTATTCAGAACGCACTTTTATCGATAAAAGCGTGCTTTTATCTCTGAAATTCTATAGTATACATGACGTAAACTATAGCATGTTAGCGCGCTAACATCGTTGTTAGCGCGTTTTGAATACGGGTCTAGATATCAGAGAAGCGCATCTGGCTTAAGTCAGTATCGCATAATTATTAAGATAAGTATTAAAAATGGCGTTGTTTGCAGACGAAATACGAAATCCACCAATCGTCTATTAGTCAGCCATTTTTAATACCACTGAATGAATGTCATGATTGGCTGACAGTCAGCTAATCAGGACGCGGAACATCGGTTGCGCTTCTCTGATATGTTCAAGTGTGTGGTGGTGTGTGGATATATAGCTTTAATTAGAGTCCTAGATATCAGAGAAGCGCAACCGGCTTAAGTCAGTATCGCAAAATTACTAAGAAAAGTATTAAAAATGGCGTCATTTGCAGACGAAATATGAAATCCACCAATCGTCTATTAGTCAGCCATTTTTAATACCACTGAATGAATGTCATGATTGGCTGACAGTCAGCTAATCAGGACGCGGAACATCGGTTGCGCTTCTCTGATATCTAGGACTCTAGCTTTAATTAGTAACCCTCTAATAAGAGTTGGACACGTGAAGTCCGCCATTATTCGTCGAAATTATGCGAGAGAGAAAAAATCATGCTCTCTCATTCTAGTGGCGCTGTAAGTTGTAGCTGATTGTAGCTCTACAAACTTAGTTGCTAAGTTTATAGTTTCTGTTTCTGTTTCGTCTCGCCTCATGCATCGTATCATTTTTAAGACCAGGACCATTAATATTCGAAGAAGACTTATTTTCCACAAAAGTTTATATTTTATTATTAAGGGTGCGGTCGAGTTGCCACTACGAATACTTCGAAGCGTTTCTTGATTGGCTAATTTGTAAAATTCTTTCTTCTGATTGGTTAATCAAACGCTTTGAAGCATTCGTAATGGCAACTCGACCGCACCCTAAATCAGGATAACACTGCAGTAACAAAACACTACAGTATTATAAATATTATAAATTAATATTAAATGCATTTTATTACATATTATGTTTAGGTAATAATTTATCCAAAATATGTTTACAGCGTTATCGGCACGCTAAAATATATAGTATACATGACGTATTTTATGTATCGATAGCAAAGACATAGAGAATGGACTGCGCGATCCCGTATCTATGTAGTATCAAAATATATCGACGAAAATGAGAGAGAGGGTCCGTGGAAGACGGCCATCTCTATCTTTTTCCATTCCATGGTGTAATGGAAGAGAGAATGAGAGGGAGATGGCCGTCTTCCACGGTCCCTCTCTCTCATTTTTGTTGACCATTTTGACACACGGATCGCGCAGTCCATTCTCTATGTCTTTGATCGATAGCACTACATGCATATTTCGGACCGCGGCTGTTGAGAATTGGTTGAGACCACCGATTACTATATGATAGTCACGTGGGTAGTCATGTGAGAGCCGAACATATTCGAGTCACGACGAAACTAGTCGAAGTGACCTTACCCATCTCGCCGCGATTATTCCCTACCCCTCGGTGAAAGGCTCCGTCTATATGTCGTTGCTCTACACCATAGAGATAGTAGTACTAGAGTCCCTAAATACAGAGTCTGGATTATTTGTATCCTGTGTTGTATGCACCTTACTTCGTGGTTGTATGTACTGTAAAATTAATACGATATATTGTTTTTGAAAGACATGAGTAAGAATCATAAACGTTTAAAACGCCTAAAATCGGAAAAGGCGAAAGTGAAATTAAAAGGGAAGACTGTCCATCAATTGCCAAAAGGTTTAAACATTACGAATACGTCATTTAAAGTAAAACAAATACTAATTCGTGAACAATTAAAACAAAGAGATGAAACAGAAATTCTCAGCACTCGCAAGTTGAATATCGACGTACGTAGTTCGGCTTACGAACGATATTTATTTACGTTTAGTGGTTAATGGTTGATACATTGTGGAAACCTTATTGTTTCATAGGTTATAATTTGGACTTGTATGTACATTATTATGCAACTTGTAATCTATTTTCAGGATTTATTAACACGTTTTCGGCATCACAATTCAACCGTGAGACAAGATGCTTTAAAACAATTAAAAGACATCTTGTTGCAAAATCCTGTAAAATCTTTACATTCACGATTGAATTCTTTGTTACACGGTATTGCAGCTTTATCTCTTGATAAGGAGAGAGAAATACGCAGAAATTCTTTTCATGCGCTTAATTTTATTCTCGGCCTTATCCCGAATGAACAGTTGACACCATTGCGTGAAACTATAATATCATTTTTGTGTTGTGCGATGACACATATTGATCCACGTGTGAAAGAAGATTCTCTACTTTTCTTGGATGTGCTTGTACAAAATTGTAGTAGTGCATTGGCAAAAGATAGTCATAAAATATTACCTAATTTTTTGGGTATGATATGCAGGTTACATAAGGAAGGTAGTCCTGCAGCACAATTGACGACAACACTAGATTCCAAAAGCACTAATGTAAAATGGAGAATTAAAGTTCTAGAACGTTTAGCTAATTTATTTACCTCTATTGTCAACTACAGAAAACTTTGCATAGGTACAAGATCAATTGTGACTCCGTTTGTGAGAACAAAAAAATGTACCAGGTATATTCCAATTTATGGCAATAGTGCGTCTCAATTTTGTGAAATTATTCTTGACCAAGATATGATCTCGATAGATAATCATGAGAAAGAAAATTTGCCTGTAGAAGAGTTTGTAAAATGTACACATTTATTGATGCCAGTAATGGCTGATATTTGGCTCGAATTATGTCCAGATGAGGAAGTTGAGAGTTATGCAGAGATTACAATTTTGAATGAAGCAGCTGCATTATTAAAAAGTATCATTGTAATTATACAATCAATTGTGGAATACATGGATACGTTGGATCAGGATGATTATGGTGTCAAACGTATGAAGTATTGGTTTAAAGATACGTTTCATAATGCATATATGAAAAATTTCCTATCCCGATTTCCTTATGGTAAAGTACAGCCTCTTATTAATGAATCCAGAAAACGTCAAAAAGATTTTTCTCAAATTAAATTTACAGAGGAATGTTTGGAACAAAATTTGGGACTTTGTCAAATTCACGTATGGTTTACATCTCTATTTAACTGCAACGAACAATTTCCCAAATCTGTCAGAACCTATTGTGTATCTATTTTGAAATATTTAAATGGTAAATTAATATTATGTTTAATAATTTTATAGATATATATATATATATATATCAGGTTCTTTTTTTTTTTTTGCAAAACCTCATTTTTTTAGGTACTATTGAAACTTGGTGTGACTCTTCGACTTTACCGCAACTAACTAAACTACTAAGAACTTTATTTTTGAAAGCTGGACCAATTTGGTACAACAACCATATTAATTTGAATCATACTTTAAGACTGATTATCCAAGCTTCTTCTCGTTTGCCTAAGAATGAATTGCAATCGCAATTGTATGTAATTATTGGTGACATTATGTTGAACAGCAATTTAAATGAATTACACAGGTAATCGTTTTAAATTAAAACTAAATTATGGTTAATTTAATTTTTATAGAGCATTCATTTGAAAATATAATGTGATATAATGTATTATTAACTTGATAGACAATCGCTAATTACTTGTTTTACTTGACAGAGAGAAAATATTTGAAAGCTTCGTTACGTTCTTACCAAGTTTGCTCCTGAGACCGAGCATAGATGACGTCGTAATTCGTATGATCGGTCAAATAGTTTTACGTTTTAAGGAGTGGATCCAGGAAGAATTGATAGCTAAACATGAGTCTATTATCGGTAAGTTGTATGAATGTGACTAAGTCGTACAATGTTGTCATTTCCATCATACTAACGTTTTATTCTTTTCAGAAAATGTTAAGAAGATCGACATTGTGGGTACATACGATGACAAACAATCAAGACTCATGATATATAATCTATTTTATTTTGTAGATTCACAGATTTACTATTAAATGATCTATACATACTGAACTTGAACGTATAATTGATTTTTGTATCTTTTGAGCGAAAATTTTGATAAATTTTTGTTTAATCGAACGGAACAATGTGTGTGCGTGCATGAGACTTGAATGAATTATATCGCGAGAATGAATGATGAGTGTGGAAAATATATGTTTCGAATGTTAATTTAAATCTATTTGGGTACAGCCATTTTATCGCGTAATCGCGTTTTCTCTGATATATAAATGTGCTCGTGTTATACAATTTCTCAAGACATTTCTGTGACTTTTCGCAATACCATGTATTGTCGCAAAAGTTCTATAAGATACATAACATACTATCAGCACTTTTATACATATTGAATTATGTAGCTTATATTTCCAAGATAAGCAAATGTTGTAATATTGCGAGAAACGTACAATCATATCTCTAATTGAGCTATCCATATTATTATTCATAAAAATTACGTTTGACTGCGATAAAATGGTGTTAACATGAACGTAGGAAAAAATTTCAGTCCTCAAGGGCGAATGAGAGTGCTGCGTTGTTATTGGTACGCAATTTTAATCAATTTAGTCTTTTGAATAAATTAGAATTCATAAATAACATTTATTCAATCATAATTAGTATACGTTTCGACTCTTATTGTTGAGTCATCTTCAGTACAAATCCAAACTAAATATATAATAAGACGCTATTTTATGAGAGACGTTAGACTTATAACATATATAACGTAGGACTTATAACATATATAAATAGACTGCTGACTCAATGGCCCTATTCTTAATCAGACCTTATACTTACTTCCTTAAATTTATCTTTATATGATCAGTAGCCAATAAAACAATTTGTAGAGCATCTGAAGATAAACTTAAGGAAGCCTTAAATATAAGGCCTGACTATGGCTATGGGTCAATGTGATAGAAAAAGATGGACTTGTGTTGAATCTAATGAACAAGATTTATTTATTACAGAATAATGAATCTAAATGTAATCAATATAACATTACAATGTTGATATTTGTCAAATACAAGAGAAAAATAATATATGACAAATAGTTTAACAATTATTCAATTATTATGAAATTTATGAAAATTATTAAACGCAAATAAATCACAAAACAGAGTAAACTACATTCAATGGTAATCATCAAATGTAACTTATATTAAACTTATCTGTAACGAAATTACGTCGTCGTTGCAAGGCCTTACAATATTGCACGCAGCTCACACACAACCATCCGATACCATGGTCCGCTAGGAAAAGAGGCGAGCAATAACAATGTTCAAATTCCATAATCTGACTATCGGTTGACATCTAGCCAAATTAATCTTATCATCTATCGCGAATCAGGTTGATACAAATTATAACTTTACAACAATTCCGAATTGTTTCTGTTTACATAGTGTATGTGTGCGTTCTGTCTGTGAGCACTCCTGAATATAGGCCCTATAATCATTTTAACTTAAGCAATATATATGATTATTTGTGTGATTTCTATAATACATATGATAGTGAATGAACACAAAATATGATACTGTCCAGCGCTGTCTTCAAACAAGAGGCGAAGTCGGCAGTTTATTTATATGTATATGTCTATGGTAGGACTATATTGTACATTTACATGGAAATACTGTGAGTCTCTTCTTCCTATTTACCTATCCTACCTACTTACACAAAAATTCATTTATATAATAAATATTACTTTTTTTTCTTCTTATAATACTAAATTTTATAATACTAAATTTTTTGATTAATTTATTTGAAGAGATAATTTGTGTGATTATTATATGTACAGGGTGTGGACCATTTTAATATCCTATTTCCAAATATCTGTTTTTCTACACTTTTTACGAAAAAATGTCATTAATTTTAGATAAAAAAGGAAAACAGCTTCGAAAAAAGGTTGCATTTTAGTTACATTTTTTTTGTATGCGGTTGCGCCGAGAAGGTTACTTCCACAATTTAAATAGAATTGTATGATTTTTTTCATATAATATGATTCTTCGCAATTATTTGGTAGATAAAAGTATTAAAATAGGAATATTAAAAAATTAATATAATATGTGAGACATTTTATATTTTATTCTACAACACACACATATCAGATGAAAAATATTGTAAATATCTCGTAAACACTAAGTTCATTGACCTTTTGATATCTCTACCTCTCAATACTCTAATATATGGAATAATTGGAGAAACACATATATTAACGAATCATATCGTCTAAAGCTGGCGCGTTCAGGAGCGGCACAACGTAAAGTATTAAACGCGAAAGCTGACTTATCGGAAATTGTTTTACATATCTGCGCACAACTTAACTCCAATAAATTTTGTCTTTGGAGGCATTCAAAAAATTATCGGGAGCCAGTACGCAATCGGGAGTACTTAAACAATCGTATATGTTGAAACAGTTGCAAGGATATCATCCGATATAATAATCAATGCGCAACAAAGTTTATTGAGACGCGCAAGATTACGCGTAGATATGAATGGAGTACAATTCGAACATTTGTTATAATATACATAATTTATTTTGTAAATTAATTATCACAAAGTTGTACAAATAATTACAATTGTTCATAATTACTGATTTTATAATATTCATATAAGTTCCTTATACATATAGTTTTTCCGGATTATTTTAATAAAATGTTTAAAGCGTATTTGAACAATGCGTTTGTAGAAATAGGATAAACTCGATCGGGTATTATGGCCATACGGAAAAGATGGCCATAAGTCATAATTTCCCCAATAATTACTAAATAGTGCATTTTTCTATTCTTTCTTATAAATAATCAATATTTACAGTAGTTTATGTAAATACACTATTCAAAATAATAATATTATAAATATTATCTAATATTTTTTCTTTCGACTATCTGCAAAGTTTTCCAAATGTCTGCTAAAAACTGTTATAATATCAAATAAATTACAGTTAAGCTGCTGTAATCGACATTACATACACAATAAATGTACGTAAATTTCAATGTAACCTATAATTAATATTTTTATCTTCACTATTTATTTATAAATACTATGGCTATCTTTCCGTTACAGTTAGGGTAAGATGGCTCACTTTTTTTCGTAGTAATGTGAAAAGGATTATAAGTTCACAATGGAAAAAGTAGATTGGATTCAATGCATCCGTTGCAAACGGTGGTTACATGAAACCTGTACATCATTTGTTGATGTTTGTCAAACGTGTGGCAAAATTATTTCAAAAACTGATAAGTAATAAACATAAAAAACATTGTTTTTTTTATAATAAATCTTTTTTTATTATCAATGATAAAAGTCTTTGTTTGGTTTCCTTAATAAATCTTTGTTTGATTTTTTTTAACATAAAATATGTATGGTCAGCTATTCTATAATATCATGGCCATCTTATCCCTAAAAATCAGATAAGATGGCCAATGCTTACTTTGTAATATTTTGATAATATTAAAGTTCTGTTAAGTGTTTTCTCTTTAATTTCGATAGTATTTGTTACTTTAAGCTTCAATGAAAGTAATATCCCAAATATTATTAAAAAGTAACAGGAATAAATGTATGTTTTTTGCATTTTAAAAAACTATGGCCATCATACCCGAGTTTACCCTATCAATAGAATGAAATCTTGTATTCACATATGTAATCCTAAAATCAATATTGACAAAAGAAGTGATAAGTTTTCACGTTTAGTACTTTGCGTTGTGCCGCTCCTAAGCGCGCCAACTTTAGACGATATGATTCGTTATTAATCTTAAACGCTTAAGGTGCGTATCGAGCCGAAACGCGAGCCGAGCCGAGAAAATAAAAAAAAATTTTCGAAATTTTCGTCTCAAAATAATGATCTCAAGAATGTCCCTTTAAACGTCATTCGTCTCTTTCCTGAACACCCTGTATATCTTTCTTTATATCTTTCTTCAAATATTTAGGATAGGACATTGAAATGGCTCATTCTGTATATGTTTCGTCACTACATTCAGTCATTTGCAAAACCAAAATTTTCCAATCCATTTTTTTCACTGGCCCATCTATTCGATTGTTTGGTCGAGTTGTTAAAATCATTCATCGTTTGATCACTCGAAACACTGATTTGACAGTAACTATTACATGTAATATTCGCAATATTTTGTAAGTTATCTTCTTTCTGCAGAATAGATGATGCAGGCATTGGGCCAGTAATTCTTTTAAATTTCGACCAGTTTTCGCAATTCTTCAATTCATATTCCATCTTTACATATTGTTTCTTTGACTTTTCCGGTTTGTATAATTTTGTCATCAAAATGTTTTCAATGACGCGCTCTATTACAAAGCTCTCGAAGAAGAAACAAGTAAGAAAATTGGCTAGAGCGAGCATTAAGATAATAAGCCTCCAATCGTAAACGGGTGGTAAGATCAATTCCAGCGTGTTCACTATCCAATCCGCGGGATAAACCGTAATATATGTACATATGGTCGTTAATAAAAATATGGAGAACATAAACGCGCCATTTGTATAGATTGCACGTCTGTAAGGGTTCCCGCGTGAAAATACAATCGCCATTGTGATGTATTGAAACATGGAGACACAGAAGACCGAATAGTTTTCGTAGCACGTGTATCCGACGTTGCTAGTAGGAACGAACGGGATAAACCATGAAAATTGTCGAACTGCGTGATACGCTGTCGCTTGAAAAACGATCATTACAAACATATGTATTATGAGAGATAACAATACAGTGAAACTTAACAGACTTGTCATCGGTGTTGTCTTGGACAACTTGTCCTTACACGCGTGAGTCTTGCCAAAAAGAAAAGCAAAATTAATTATTAAAAAGATATCGATAAACAGAAATTGTAAATCCGTTAAGTTCGAATCTATGGAATACAGTATTATAACGGACAAGAATTGCGTAAGGGAATACGCGATCATAAATTTAAAGATTCCAAACGATGTAACCAAAGCAGCACGACCTTCTCGTATTATTTTTGGAACGCATCTTATGTCGGATATTCTTGAGATAAAGGAACTGGCCACGCTGCAAAATAATGCAGATCGTCAATTAACAATGGAATGACAAAAGTATAGTATATAG